CCAACTCTAACCAGGTCCAACTCTAACCCGATCAGCACGGACTCGGACCAGCAGTACCACGATGCTTGTTTCTCGTCCTTGTTGCATTTTAGTTGTTGGTTTGTCGGTTCACTGCAGGATCCACCCACACGTGGTGATGTCAGATTATAGTTAAGGTGGAGCTTCAGGTCACAGATTATTTGGGGCGGAGCTTCACGGGTCAGATTACCAGTTTAGGTGACGGCTACAGTTTTGTTTCAGAAATCATTTTTAAAAGCTGAACTCTTCGTTCTTTGATTCCTGAAGCAGAAAGTATTAAAAGATCTTAAAGTTTAATTCCTTTTTTTTTTTTTTTACCTAAACCTTGGTTGTTGGCTGAAGGTTCACCTCCAAAGAAGAACCTCATGGACCGAGACAAACTGAAACCAACGAAGAAGAAGCAGGAGGACCATCATCATCATCATCTGTGAGACACTTGTTCCAGCAGAACCTGAACTCATCATCAGTTACAGAAAAGTTCTCAGCCCAACCCGTCTCCTCGGGTTCTGGTGTTTCAATGAAGCGGCTGAAGTTTCCCTCAGTATTTTTGTTTCAGTTTAAAAAGATTCAGATTTTTCAAATGTTTTTAGTTGCACAAGAGTTTCATCGCAAACCAAACGTTTCAGAGCTCCCAGGAAGTGTGGCCGATTACAGCAGGAGGTGGTGGGCGGAGCCACAAGGTGCAGGAGGTTTGTTGTTTCCACAGTGAAGATGTTAAAACCACATGTCCTCCCAACAAATCACACCCGGACAAGCAAACGAAAATAAGTTTGAACTGAAATAGAACGAAGTTGCAGCAGGGGTCCCACCTGGGCAGGTGTGGGACAGCAGGAGTTTTTTTGTTTACCTTCAGTAACCATCTTGTTTTTGTGTAAAGTTTCTGTTCAGGTGAGCAGATGTCAACAAATGTTTGTTTTTGTCATTTTGTGAAAATATTAAAGTTGAAAACAAACGAATGGATTTCCTAAATGAATCCTCAGGAAACATTTTATTTCATAATTTTCTGTCTAAATGTAAAGATTCATGTAGAAGAGGCTTCAGTAACTCTGTTCATCCAGCAGGTAGAGCTCTGCCTCTTCACCTGAGCAGGTGTGGCTCAAGCATAGACTCCAGAGAGCATTCTCATGTCCAAACCACAGAAACACTTAAATATACTATATTAAAACAATGTTTTGTTTTATTTATCATTATTGAAACTGAACTTGTCTCTGAAACCTGAGCTAAAGACGTCTGCTGTCGGTGCAAGAGTTTAATCAGAAACTCGTTTTCTTTGAAAATCTTTGCTAAATGCTAACCAAGTAGCATCAGAGCCAGCAGCTGAAACAATTTTTAGAGGAGCTGAAGAGATTGTGCATTTCTAAAGGGAGAGAAATAATAAAAAAACAAATTAAACATTACAAAGTCAGCATTCATCTGATTGAGCTGAACGTTTCAGTTCACGAGCAATAAAAACAGCACAAAGTTAAAATGGCACAAGCAGCTGGATTGTTAAAAAAAAAAACGTTGACTCGGGTCACATTATTAAATATTAAAATGGCTGACAAGGAACAGACCTGGAGAGAAACAGACTGCTAAACCCTTCCTCCAGGTGAGGTAAAACCTGCAGCCAGGTGTGAAACAAGCATAAATGGACAATAATGTGTTAAAACATCTCGGACATTTTTTATCATCTCACAAGTTTCGACAGATTTAAACTGTTAATGTGAGTTAGAAAGTTCCTGGAGAAACTGACGGGGACTGCCACGCTGCATTTACATTTTGGGTTCGCTCTCAGCTCTTACCGCTCGTCCTGAGCCTGGTTCTGTTGGAGGCTTCTTCCTGTTAAAGGGAGTTTTTCCTTTCCACTGTTGCCACTGTGCTTGCTCAGGATGGGAGACTGTGATGAAACCAAGATTCAACGTGTCTGCTGGATTCCTTAGAGAACTTTACTAATTGGCTTCTCTATGCATGTGAATAGGGCAGCACGGTGGCGCAACTGGTAGAGCCGCTGCCTCTCAGCAAGCAGGTCCCTGGTTCAAATCCCGGTACGGGGTCCCCTCTGGGTGGAGCTTGCATGTTCTCTCCGTGCATGCGTAGGTTTTCTTCAGGTACTCCGGTTTCCGCCCGCAGACCAAAAACATGCATGTTAGACTGATTGGTGACTCTAAATTGTTCCTAGGTGTGAGAGAGAGAGAATGGTTGTCTTTGTGTCCCTGCAATGGACTGGAGACCTGTCCAGGGTGTACCCCGCCCCTTGCACTGTGATTACTGGACATGGGCACCGGCGACCCCCGAGATCCAAAATGGAAGAAGCGGGTAAAAGATAATGGATGTGAATGTATAACAACTCGCTGTCAGCTAGGTCCAGGGCTTAATTTGTAAACTGATCAATACCGGAACATCAATAATAGGTGAGCTGGCAGGAGGGGAGGGTTCTGGGGGTCCTCCCCCCAAAATTTTTATAAAGTAATTGTAATTTCCTGCATTTTGGTGTATTTTAACGTGTTATTAAACATCTATATTTACCTACATTTGTAAACACTCTGCTTCTGTCAAGCATCCTACCCCCCCACCCTTGATGATTTTGAGCCCAACACTGTCCCAGCTCGTTGTTGTTCGACTCCACATGTGAAACCTCCAGGCGCCTGCCTGCGGCTGCCTAAGGGCTCCTGCCCACCTACAGCTGCCTGGTTAGCTCATCACTCACCCCCACCGCTCTTTTAGGGGGCGGAGATTTTTTTAAGGATAGATACGGAAATGTTACTTGAAGAAGCAGCTCGTATGTGATATTAAGAAGCTCATAAGTGGCTGTTGTGTTTAAAATTAGTGTTTATGCAATTATTTTCAGTTTACATATCCAGTATAGGTTATATTTGTTCAAGGCAGTCATATTAGTTCATAACTTTAATTAGTAAGCCTAAGAATTACCGGATCCAAACAATTACCGGAACGCACCCTTTCAAAATAAGAGAGTTCCCGGATCCTGTTCCAGCCGGATCCGGCTCAAATTAAGCCCCGGCTACGACCACACCAAATGTCAGCTCATTATCTCAATGAGTTAAAGTCAGTTTGTGTTTTCTGAGTTAGCTGTGGCTGTGAAGAGTTCCGTCAGGCTTATCAATGAGGAAAACAGCGTCTTTGTTTCCAAATTACGTCGCCATGGTAACTCAAAATGCCACTACATGTAATGGCACACATCACGGTGCCGAGCCGGTCGTTTTGATATAACATTTGTGGGGGTGCACGCTGCAGTTCGGGCTGCATTAAAGTTGAAGGAGAGCAAGACCCTTTTCAGGTGGATAATAAGAAGTGGCTGCCTTGCTGTCTTCTGTTTCTGTCTCCGCCCTCATAGAGGGTGGAGTCTTAGAGTGGGCGTGGTGAGATGTATGGTGGGAGGGATTATAGTTCAGTGGGCGGAGCTTGTTGGGAGTTGCTGAGTGGTGTGTTTGAGTGTCCTGCTGTCAGTGGATCATGGCCTGTCTGATGGCCGCCTGGTCCGTTCACAACCCCACTGTGACAAACTCCATCATCATGGTGAGTCCTCACACACACACACACACACACATATGTAATGGGTCAGAACCATCATGAACTCTTCAGAACTGGTGTCAGGAACATTCTGATGACTTTAGTTTAATTAAACTGGCTAGACACCTGCTGAAACGTGTCACCTGTCCAGGTTCTGACCCATTGGACTCAGTTTGGTTTTATTTTACAGAAAGGGTTAATAAAAACAGGAACAGAACCGCGTCCAGTTCAACCGTTGGACAGAACCTTTTAGGCACTGAGCACCCTCAGTTTGTCCACCTGTCCTCCCTCAGGTAAAATCACCTGAAAACATCACAGGAACCGGTTCTGGTTCTGGTTCTGAACTCAGCCTAAATCGTCTTTACAGTGAAGTAAAAGCGCTGGAAGGATGACCTGAATTTTATGTAACAAACACAAAGTGGTTCAAAAGCTACAAAAATTAATAAATAACATTTTTTGTAAATAAAATCTGAAATGCGTAAATTTCATCCCTTCACTCTGATCCTCGAACCGAAATCCTCCAGGCGTCACCTCATCAGTAAACATAATCCAGCTGTTCTGTGAGCCTCAGAGGTTTACAGAATAGATCAAAACAGCATCATGAAGACCAAGGAACACAGCAGACAGGTCAGGGAGAACGACGGTGAGAAGTTTAACACGGGTTATATTATAAATCGTCTCACAGAGCCACTGTTTAATCCATCTTCTGGAAATGGAAAGAATACTGCAGACCTACAGACATGGATGTCCATCTGACAGGACGGAGACAAGGACAGCATGAAACTGAGGAGCAGCCAAGAAAACCCCATAGGAGCTCAGGAGGAGCTGCAGAGATCCACAGCTCAGGACAACTGTTAGACCACAAAACTGACTCTACGGAACAGTGCACGAAGAAAACCATCACTGCAGCTCAGCCTGAACACACCATCCCCACTGTGAAGCATGGTGGCGGCAGCATCATGCTCATGCTTTACTTCAGCTTCAGGATGCAGCTAAACACAGGACAGTCTTGTAACAGATCCTGTTAGAGGCTGTAGACTGAGACTGGTGCGGAGTTTCACCTTCCAGCAGACCTACAATAGATCGGGTCAGATCAAGGCATGTCCATGTGTTAGAATGGTCCAGTAAAGGTCCAGAACCTGGTTCCAAATGAGAATCTGTGGTAAGACTGGAACACTACTGACAGTTGATACTCCCCATTCAGTCTGACAGTAGCTGGTTTACACAGAAGAATGGGACAAACTGTCAGCCTGAAGGTGTGTAGAGCTACCGGAGACAAGACCCAAAAGACCTGCAGCTGAAGGTTCCACATAGTGTTGACTGGGGGGGAGGGGGGGGGATACTAACAAACACCACACACTTCTGATTTTTATTTGGGTTTATTAGTCAACTAGTCAGTGAGCAGGTCTGTTACCATGGCAACAAAGCTAAAGTAAAGAAGACTTCTTCTTCTGACAAACCTTCAGTACACTCGGGTTCTGTTACCATGGTGACAAACCTTCAGTACACTCGGTTCTGTTA